TGATTTGGAAGAGTCTTCACTGATGATAACAAAGATTTCTGATGATATCAAGTTATTCCAGATACCAAAGACAAGGACTGACTCTGAAGAACTGTAGAGAAAAACTGGGTGATAAAATTGCAGATGAAATTCATTACTAATAAACGCTAAATATAATACATTTATGAATTCAGGAATAAATACCTCTAACTCCAACTTTAAAAGTCAGAGATGTTAATTACAGATTTCACTTTCCAAACATGGATGAGATTTATCTTTATTGAATAAGGAACACAGTTTCTCCTCATAGAAAATAGCAAAGAGGATAATAAGGGAGCTACTTCCTAAAGCCGTTGAAAATACCTGAAATGACCAGTTTTGGGCAGAAGAATCAAACATAAACCTAATTGCAACTACTTGTACTGGCTGATGAAACCTGCAGGGGAAATGCTTTACTATTTGAATATCAGAACAATTAAAAAAAATCAGAGATCTTTGATTTCTTTAAAAGCATTTTAAGTCTATAAAAGCCTGCTAGTTTGCATTTATCTTGCAGTTTGTGACCTTAATAACCAGTACTGGTTCTCAAGAACAGTCAGCCAGGAGGAAAATTACAATAGATTAGTGTTTTAACTTACTTTCTGTAGGTGAGGAAAATCAACTTCTATGATTTGCAGAAAGGAAATGACAACAGACTAGAAAACCATATTTATTCCATAAAAACATTGCAGAACTTTGTGAAAGGAAGCATTTAACAGTCATTAAGTACTCCTAAATACTGTGAATATATGAGAACTACAAATATGCTTAGAACAACTGTTAGCAACACATTCAACTTTACATATCTAAATGCAAAAGTGACACTGATTTGACATTAAATAGGAATTAACTACACTGTAATCCAAGACAACATTTTTCATGCAAATAGGATGAACAATAAGAAAATGGAAATCAAGTGCAAATAAAATGTGAACAATAAGAAAAGAGAAATCAGTTTTATTTGGAATTTTATTAAACATTAAAAAGGACTCTGTAGGTGACACTGAGAGAGGAGTGCTCTATTCAATTCTCTAAATCTGACTCATAAAAATATCTATTACCTTAATTAAATATTTTTAACAAAGTTTAAGGTATCCTTGATTTACTGTATCACAGAAGTTATCTTTAACAACATGGTAAAAGTCTCAAGAAGGAAAACTTCAGTGTTCCTTAGGATGGAGATTATTCTTTCTGGACTCAATCAAAAGAACTGGTCTGCTGACTGGAACTGTGTAGAAACAATACTTCCTTCTAAGTTACAAGTGCAAAGATGAGAGCTTTTCTAGCTTTAGGCCTAAGTTCAGATTGTCTACATATCTGTTTTAGGATTCACAGCACAGAACAGAGAAGATTCTGGCAAGTGGGTGACCCAAGATACTTAAGTGTTTAATTTCACATTATTATCTTCATTAGAAAAACTATATTATGATCTTCCTATTGATCATTTCTAGCCATTCATTCCAATGTCTGCACTATGATGTACTGTTCCTTCATATACAGGAGTGCATTTATAAATTAGACTATTTAAATGATTTGACTTTAAAAGTAATGCTATTTTAAAAATAATTTTGGTTTATTTTACAGTTGGGTTCTTTAGCTATTTTTTTTTATTGTTGTTTTTACACATCTAGATGAAAATATCACCAGGTTGCTCCATAAACAATTGCATTAGCAAAAATCAGAGTGTGGGAGCTGGAACAATTGGTGACTTTATGCATTCAGGGGTTGCAGACTCCTACAACTACATTGCAAGCAAAGCAAATGTGAATGGCAGCATGCTTGCTGCCTCTGAAAGCAGAGGAGGTGCTTCCATGCAACGGTGCTGCATGTCCCTGATGTTCCTCATAGAAACAATAGACAAAGGTGCAGAAACTTCTGACTCCCTCAGTGTTTATGTCCACACGTGTGTCTCATGCAGAGAACATCGGGGAACCCTGAAGTCAGGAATCTGAGAGTTGCAGGAACCTAACAAAAGCCCGAAAAAGGACTTAAGGCTTTTCCGATCCATTTGTTATGGGAAATGTAATATTAAAAGTACTAATTTTTCCCAAAAATGAACATCAGAAGGAATTTTACACTCTCATAACGACCACAGAGAAGAACATAGAAAGGCTAGACAGACTCCTCTGTTTCCTAAAAATAAAGGAACCCTCATGTAACCTACAGACATCTGTTTGCTAACCCAGGGTGCTGTGCCTGGGCTCTGTTCAGCTCTCTGCCACCAATTCAATCTGCAATGTGGGGCAAAATTAGCCGCCTCCTTCTACTTTTTTACCTGTGTATAATATGAAAATAGCAATATGGATCTTCCTGGCAAAGAAGATATCTGGCTGTTTATTGTGCATCAGAACTTTCATGATACTGCTGCAAAGTACTTTGCTATTTGCCATATATCTCAATTTATATATCTTTGCTGAAGGTGAAATAACTCAGCCAATGGGTTTGCCTATATCTTCTGTGAAAGGGAGCAAAAAGTCCTATATCTTAAGTAATCCCATTTTTCTGTGTTAGTGGTATATTTATTTTTAGTTGGATTCCTTACAAGTTTGACATAAACAGGTAATTTGTTTCTTCTGAGTTTTATGTCATGCAAAGACTGCATTTATAAACTATTTTATAATGTTTTTCCAGTGCATGATACAATATATTCTGAATTTTTATTTTGAGAAATCAAAATATATTTTGAACATTTTTCTCTCTCAGAAATTAATGCCTCCAACCTGAGGGATTTTTTCTTCCTCTGAATTTCCAGTAAAAATATTCCTTCTAGTAAAAAAGTTCCTTCCAGTGTGACAAACAAAAAAAAAAGAATTCTTTTTTAACTGAATGCATTCTTCTTCATTATTTTAATCATGTTTCAGGTATTTTAGAAGAGAATCCATGCCTGTTCAATTCAATTGCCTGTAGTTTTTTAAGTCACTGCTTGTTTAACAAGAAAAAGATTGAAAGGATTTGGGCTTAGAATAACCCACAGATGGATTAAATAATATTATTTTCATTTTTAATGATATAGTGTTCAAATGTGTGATCTGTAAGCAAGGACGGATGGAAGACAAATTCCTCCTTAAATCATTAAAATATAATACAGAATTCTAATATTTAATTTAAATGCTTTTGAGAACATTTAGGTCTTTACTAACATATTCCTTTGACGACTATGCAGGAGAGAAAACTGCTTTTAAAAGCATTCTACCTGTAGAGTTGTTTTTCTGACCTTCTTTTAGCCTTTTGCCCTAAATCATATATATTAACTTTCCTAACAATCAATTGATTCACTCTTCACAGTAAAAATATGGTATTGGTCTAGAAGAAGACTGGTTAATCAGAAATAACTCACCCAGTGGGACACTTTAGAGACAATAATCTGTGTCAAACATAGCTGAGTTTATTGTGGATGCTGAGTCACAGAAATGTATAGCTACTACTACACTGCTGTATTACACAGTCACAGCAAATTAAAAAACTCTTAGAAGTACACATTTTCAGACTCCTGGAGATGGTGGTGTCTTCTTTTACTATTAGTACGGCTTTAATTAGGAAGAAGCCTTTATCATTGATAACACTTAGACTCTTCACATATTAAAACTTATAGAGAAGAATTTTTAAAATAAAAATTAAGCACTTCAGAATAAAATAAAGCAGAAACAACAATTAAATTTAGCTAGCAGATTCTTGAATGTGTTCCAGCACCATAAATTATGACTTAACACTACATATCAAACCCATAAAAATATCCTTAACTAGAAAACTCTTTCTAATTCTAAATGCTATGTAGCAGTTAAAGCTTCCAGGTAATTAGATCTAAGCTAGATTCTGTTTTCAGAAAGATTTTTAAATCCCAACTGAGGAGATGCTGTCACAAACCTGCAGTCTTTTCCAAAGAAATTTCACCTTTCAAAAAACATGATACTACTGCAAATATATTTGGGACACGTTGGCAATACAGTTCTGAAGAAATGATATCATTCCTCTCCTTACATGTTTCCCCTTCAGAGTGAAAAAAGGGTAACATTGCTTTCATAACCTTTCTCAAGTGTCACAGAGTAAACATTCTGAATATTATATAATCCTTTTGACATTTTCAAAACTACAGTAAGATAGAGATAGCGACATCTATAATCAATCTTTTTAAATTGAGAAAAAGTTGAATGAAAAAAACATAATTCTGACCCTTCCCACACTATTTTTTCAGTATTATCAGGCTCCAAACTATATTCACCTCCTGTTTTACAAAACTGTATTTAATGCTGAACTGTCTCATGGACAGGAAAAAGAGCAGCAATGATACAATTAATGATTAATCACAAAAAAGAAGCCAAGTTTAACAAAAATGAGCATATATTCATATAAGCATAGCATGCAGATTTAAGAATCACCATAACTAACTAGACAATGATGATGGTTCAGAATAATATCTCTTCAAGGTACTGATCTAAAGAAACAAAAGGACAAAACAATATATCTAAAAGACTAGGTGGTTCAAGACAATAAATTATAGTGATAATACACTTGAAGTTTAGTGGTATTAAATTTGTTTTAAAATAATTTATTGGTTTTTACAATTTTTCTTTCTGCAAAAAACCTATGTTTGACCATATAAAACCTTCAAAAGTAATATTTTTAAAATGCCACCTGATGCTTTCTCCTGCCATTTTAGATGAACTGGTCGGTACAGTAGCAGATTTACATTGTAAATATAGAAAATCATCTAAGGAAATGTCACATCCCATTTCCAAAGAAAGACCAAGAGCAACCCTGTAATAAGAGAAACATTAACCAGAGAGTCTATTCTGAAATACTGCACATATCAGGTGATTGAAGGCATAAGCTTTCTGGCCTTATATCTTAAAATTTACTGACATTTGCAATAATTTCTCATGTGATGTTCAAGCTGTCATGTTTTACAGCCTAATTAGCAACTTTTCAAAAATTTACATAAGATAAATACAATTTATGGACTTTTCTCTGACACGTTCACTTACTTTTTATTGGGATAATGAGCTGAGGAACAACAGGAAGAATCCTGTTTCCACCATGCTCCAGCAGGTCATGGACTCCTTGACGAGCAAAAAACTCATATGGAAATTCCGTTTCACAAAGCCCATCAAAGAACAAAGGCAGAAAGTAATGATAGTCCAGCTCTTCAATCTGTACCTGAAAATACAAAATAAATAAACAGGTAAATTAAATTTTTCAGTACCAATACAATGTGATCAGGCCAACAGATAATTCATGCCACTAACACAGGCATGTTTAGTAAATAACAATTCATTTTTTATCACTGCAGTATATATTGAATGACAGGTATGGTTTATGACAAGATATTAAAATACAGAAATATTAGAACTAAAGAAGAAAATAAAAATTAGTATACTTCTACATATTTTCAATTTTTGAAAAGTCAGTACCAGATTCTTATATTCTTACTAACACACTTTGCAAATTACCCACAGGAATCAAACCAGTCCTTTTAAGAACAATACTCTGCTTCTTTCAAAAAAATTTTATGTTATATCTTCACTTAGACACTCAAAACAACAAATAAGAGAAACAATCCTGTGAGCACAGCACATAAATCAATATTTGTACAACAATTCCCTAATTTGTTGACTACTGACTTAGTTTATTTCCTATTAATTTCAAGAGCAGAATTATAAAGAAATTCCATGGTTCTCTACTGTGAAGAAAAGGTATAGAAATTATGTACCTATTTTTAATAGGAATTTCCTTCCAAACCTAAATTACAAAGTATGCTAATCTTAACAATCTATGGAGGGATTTTGCACTCTATTTTCCTTCCCTTTTCCTTCTTTTACCCATTAGGACTCTACCACAGACACTCAGGCTAGCCAGGGAGAAACAGAAGTTTGTTTATGGCCTGTCAAAGCTCTGAATACAGCTGAGAAGTAATTCAACAGCAATGAATTTTCTCAGAAAAGAATATGATCGTCTAAATCAGTTGGAGACCAATCCATCTCTTAAAGAATGCACTTCCATCTTTCAAACACTGCTAAGCTGCTCCCCAATTTCTCCAGTGAGATTTGGTAGTATCCAGGTAAGATTCTTCACACCTAACAAACTTTGTCACGTAGGTCAAGCTAAAGCTCCAAATATCCTAGATAAAATTTGTCAGGTTAAGCAAAACCAAAATCCCACCCATTTATTTCAGAACAGAAATTGCAGTCTCACTTGAACTGTGGAAATCTGAACTAAAGTAGCCAAGAACCAAACTTCACAAGTCTTGGGCAAATCACAGAGTCAGGAAGTAGCACAAAGATATTCTCTGTTTGACACCATGGTTCATTTTTATCTTTGCTTGACTGAGTAGATCTGATTCCCGGTCTGGCACACCTTAGCTGCTGACTTCAATCTTTCATGTTGAAGGAGATCAATCCATGTAAATCAAAATTAACTGGAACTGATACTTGAAAGTAAGTATTATGCATTTGCTGTGTCTCACTACTGGCAGACATGGTGCAATGACATACTAACATAGCCTCACACGCACTGATTGTTAATCTCTTACAGGAGATTAAAAGGCAATGGCATAATACCTATTCACTGATGTGAACGAAATCAAGTCCCAGTAGTGGAGCATGTGGGAGAAGGACAAAGGAAACTCACATTTCCTGTTTTGTCAACATCATATATTGTTTGCTTCACTATAATTTTTTTTTCTCATTGGCCTTTCTCTTTACCAGAAAAAAATCAGATCCCTTTACCAGATGCCTTTAGAGTCAATATGAACCCAGGGAACCAGCCTCAAGTTGCTCCAGGGAAGGTTTGGATATTAGGAAAAATCTCTTCACAGAAAGGGTTGTAAAGCACTGGAACAGACTTTCCAAGGAAATAGTGGAGTTGGCAACCATGGAAATGTTCAAAACCTGTGGCTATGGCACTTGAGGACATGGTTTAGTGGTGAACATGGCTGTGGTGCTGGGTTAACAGTTGGACATCACAGTATTTTCCAACCTTAATGATTCTATGATTATATAATTCTGTGGATATACCATGGTCAATTTGTGAGAAACTTCAAAAATAACAAAATAATTAAGTAAAAAAAGAAATCAAATATTATGATTATTAATAAATAAAAAAAAAGAATTAAAAGACATTGAAATTCCTAATTGATGGGGTTTGTATTTCTTGAGGACATTCAGCATGCTATTAGCAATACTCAGTAGATGATAAAAGTCGCTGTCTCCAAAAGTCACAAGGAAGCTGTATCAGGTAATAATGGACCAGGAGGTCAAAAAATCATTGACAAAAATGCAGGACCAAGAAGAAGCAATTTTTTCATCTTCTTTGTCAATAGGACAATAAAAGTTTCTTTAATATATTGTTTTAATGTTTAGTTTGTAATCTATAACTTTTTGGTATTTAATGTTTTAGTTTCAGAAAATCAAAACCAAAACCTGTAACAGTAATTTGCATCTGGCAAAAGCTTCAGATGTTAAAGAGAGAGATACAATTAGTAATGTCAGCCTTTTTTTTTTCTTTTTCTGATGGGAGGTGTTTCACAAGGCAAAGCACCTTATCACACTGTCTTATTGAGATGGGGTTTAGAAGGTACTCCTTATATGGGTATTTGACAACTCTTTCAAAGCTAAAAAGTATTTCCACAGTGAAAAACATCCTTGATACCCAGCCACGTTCAGTTACTGAATCACAATTTGCATCTATTTTCCTCCAAAGACATATATGCCTAATTTCTTTTCTCCTAATCTTCATTAATAACTCCCCTAACTGTAAGTGCCAGTTATCTTCTCAAAGATTTGGCACTTCTGATACTCTATGCAATTTTTTCCTTTTTTTTTTTTTTTGTGCTTCAAATATGCTTTTTCTGTTTCAGCTATGAAGAAAACTTCTCGACTCAGAAGCTTGTCAGTGTTTTTCAGTAATAACTGGTTAACAAAAGATATCCTTAACTATCAACTCTAAATTATGGTCGCACATTACATATACATAGGAACAATATATCAACGTTAAGGTAAATATGACTTCAGGATTTTAAAAAATTCCAATTTTTACACACCGAACAAAAGATTTATTACAAGAAATCTTTTACAAAACAGACATATGACAAGCTAGTGATTATAAAGTACTTGTGTGTACTCGTCAATTAGTTCCAAATGCCTAAATGGTTGGCAACTAGCATGGCTCAAAATTATTTTGATTTCTAACTTATTTCTTGAAGAGTCAGCTGTCCAAGCACACAGGCAATTTTTACTTAGCTTTTTTTGCTCTATAATAACTCCCACAATATGGAAGCCAGAAATATTTTGTCTTACATTCTATGGTGTGAAACTCTTTCCTTCTGTGTTTACTATTTAGCTTTTGAAAGTGGCTATTATACAGCTGTTCAGAGAAAAATGTGATTTTTCTGGTTTTGCCTACAACATCCTTTTGTGTTTTACATCCACCCACAAAAATGCTGATTAATGCTCAAATTCTTGGCAAACTTGTCTACATCTGACAATGATGCTGTAGCTATGGATTTTAAGAAGAAATCTCACAATCGCTCTTATGAACTTCTATACTAGTGGTTTGTAAATTTTCCAGACATAGCCTCTGAATTTCAGTAAAGAGGCACTAATAAAAATTAATGCATAACATATGATTAAATAACAAAAGCAACCATAGAATGAGTAAAGATTTTACGTTCCATGAAACTTTCAGGATCCTTATATGTTCTAAAAGTTCCCTAGGTGAAAAACAATACACAGATAATAAGTGCTGCTTTATTGTTACATAAAACTAATGTACAAGATGGGAGGAAACTAGTTGCAGAATCACAGTCAATTTGACCAGGAGAGAATCTGTTCCTATGAAGCAGCCCATAGTAAGTGGCAAGTCTGCTGAGGCAAAGAAAAATTAGATAAAGATTCTAGACTGACAATAGAAAAATAAGATATGTGGCTAATCTGTCTGATAGATCAAGAAAACAAACTGTTTGAGATAATTTAAGGTTTGGAAGAACTTTGAAAAAAACTGCATCATTGGTCTTCCTTAAAGAATTTTATATAAAATAATCTAGTAAAATATAAGAGAAACCCAAATTTTGGAAAGTAGTGTTTAAGCCACATAATTAAATTTTCCATCTCCTTTCACACAACTGATTATATTATACCATGTCTTTGATCTGATTATCCAAAAACTGGATTTGATCTCCCAGAAACATTATATCTAACTATGTATGTACTCATTTAATGTCTTGGTCTAAGGTATTAAAATTAAGTAAAGAAACTCTAGAATTGGTGGGTTGATAAGGACAAACAGGAGTTTTTATAAGGCTTGTAAAGATTTTGTAAGAATTCTTTGGTAAAATAATAGTTTCTCTTAAGTTTTACTTTAATGTCTGTTCTTTAGGTTAATTAAAAAATAAAATTAGCAACACTTTTCAGCAGTCTCAGTTTTTAACTTCCTTTCCACTTTTTCATCCAAGATTTCTTTCAACTTTTTTTTTTTCTTCCAATATCCTGTACAAATAGTCAAGGTGAAGCCTGTGCATTTCACAGTTTTTGGTTTCTTGCTTTTAATATATTTGATGTATAATGGCATATTAGTTTTAAATTTTCACTATGGAGCAAGTAATGCTTGCTAGTATTTCCCAGGCTTGCCTAGATAGATATTTCAATATGTTAATTTTGCTTATGGTTCAAAACATAATTCCATTGTTCCACCTAGTCCCTAAAAATTTTCTAGCAAGAAAATATTCTCTTTTTAGTCTGCTCTATTTCATCTTCTAATAGGGTCATACTACAGTGATTTTCTATGGAAAGTGGCTTAGTCTAAGTAATTACCAGTGTCTTATCAAGAAAAAATATAAAAAAATAAATAAAATGGAAAATATGGTTGTGCCTGTATTTTCCATTCTGCAACGAAATGCTAAAATACTTCTCTTAGAACAAGTGGAAGATTATCAGAGTCAAAGAGATACAGATAATGGCAAGGGGTCTAATAGAAACCATTTAACTCGGTCAAACTGCATTTAGAGCCTCTTTAACATATTCTGTAGATATTTAACTTCCCACAAGAAGTTAAATAACAAAAGAAAATATTTGTCTCCTATGGATAAATTGAGAGAAGCAATAAGAAATGTCATTGAAGTGTTACTACACCAGATATTTGAATTTAGCTTTGGAATAACTCCT